AGGACAAAAAATTATGTTATGCAGAAAAATGAACTGAACAACTTTTGCCTCAGGGTCACATCAAAATTCGTTACCAAATTTTAAATAAAAAATAAAGTTGAAAACTATTTTTTATTTTTTTACTTTTTTTTTGGCCCGGCCGGGCAAGTGGCCCCGGGCCACTCTGGTGGCCGAGGAGTTAAATCAAATTAAATTAAAATTGGTGTACCTAGGACCTTTCCCCCGTGTGTACTCCACGGTTAAAACAGAAATGAAGAATTAAATTGAATAACATTCAATTAAAATTCACTTACTTAAGGAAAACTACGCGGGAGTCACAAAAATGAGTTATAGTAATTGCAGTATGGGCCAAGATTCAGTTTCGAATTGCAGTTCGCGCAATGTATACAACCCAGCTTTCTGGCCAGGTACTAGTAGGGTGCCCGAAGTGCAATTGCAAACTGTATCTTGCCCCATAGTCGTGCAATTATAACTCGTTTCTTTGCGACTCTACTGAAGTTACCCCTTAAATTGAATTAAATTCATTTAAATTCAATTAAATTGAATTAAATTCATTTAAATTCAAGTAAATTGAATTAAATTGCATTAAGTTCAATTAAATTGAATTTAAATTTGGCGTAACTGGAACTCGCGGACTTCGGTCACCCGGGGCGAGGTCCCACTACCTAGCAAAGCCCATTGGATTTTGCCGCCTGAATCTGGACGTGGTTGTGGAAAACAAACTGAAGAACATCGGAATTGATCTGCTTTTCAGCATCTCTTCTTTTAAACCCGTCCATATTCAGCCATTCAATCCAGACCTCTCCTCTTCGCTAGTCGGAGCTCGCTCCTGGAAGACCGATCTCGCACACAATCTACGTTTTTTTTTTTTTTCGATTTTTTTTTGTTTTTTTTTCCCTTAGCTCAGTATCATCATTGTGGAAGGTGATATCCACAAATTTAAAGTCTACATTGGCAATCACTACCTGACGGAAACCTCATCTCTGATCTAAAATAAATAAATAAATAAATAAATAAATCCATAAATAAACAAATCCATAAATCCATAAATCAATAAATCAATAATAATCTGATCCGCCTTGCATATTCCATCACCATCGCCAGAGCTCCTCCACTCTAGCGAAATAAAAAGATGAGAGCTTCTGGAAACATTGGTATTGAAAATTTTAAGAAATTATTATAGTAGTACCCAATTTTAACAGAAACAGAATTCCCGGGCTAAGTAAGATAACCGATCCATTTGAAAACCAAAAAAAAAAAAAAAAAAAAAAAAAAAAGTCCGATCCAGCGGCGGGCTACATGAGCTTCAGCTTCAGGAAACCAA